AGATTCTATTTTTGGATGTTATAGTAATCAAAAATTTTGACATTATTCTCCTATTTCATAGGAAAGCGAAGAGAATGCCTCAGGGGAAGACATGCAGAATATGCTGAGGTACATCAGCTCTGTGGAATGGGATTGGGAACTTGACTAATATATAATGTCATTGATTTGGAATAAGAAAAAACTGAACTGTGATCAAGTGGGAGTCATATATCTAATTAGCTCACCTTATAACACTTTAGGAACTCTGAATTTCACATGCAATATTTAATACATCACATCACCACCCACTCTGTATTGTTGAAGGTTCTGTTATTTCATTCCCCTCCTGTGCTCCAGTTGGAAAAGCAAATTAAATTTTAATAACACAGCCCTCATTTAAATATAGTATTATAAAATCGTTTACCTTGTCGGAACACTACCAACCCTAAAAATAGAATTTATCAGTTGTTCCAACTGGTACAAAAAATTATGACTGCAAACACTTCAAATGACAAGAAAAGTATGAAAGTACGTAATTTGGTGTAATTAGAATGTCTCTTTCCTTGTTTAATAAAGTTATTAGAAAGCCTCTTTGACTTTAAGGGGATTAATGGCTTAAAAAAACAAAGCATCTGTGGATCCTTTATGTTGTAAACTATTACTTGTCTTCAAAAACATATATGTATATATATCATATCAGAACTTTGCTTACGCATGTGGAGATTCTGCAATATAAACTTCTTCAATTTTCACATGGAATTTATTCTTTAAGTATATACGGCCATAATTTTCAAAAGTATTTGGGGATCTTGGAAGCAATTTTATGAGTCTTGCTCTGAGACATCTGCAAGATGCTAACTTTTCTGACAGTGGCTGCTCAGCACTTTCTGAGAATTTCTAAAAAACTGTAATCATTCCAATCTATTTTTGCTGTCCCTCTGGCAGCTGTCTTCCTAGTGAGCATAGCTGTCACTAAGATCTCTTGTTTCAGAAGAGACTGGAGAAAAATCTACCAGGAACTACTGGATGGTTTGCGGGGCTGAATCTGCATGAACTCCTTGCTCTGTTTTTAGGGCTGCTAAGTGTAATCAGTTTGCATCCACTATGCCGCCTGCTAAAATGAACAATGACAGAGTAAATTCCTTTGTATAGGCCCTGAGGATCTGATCCCTGTAGTCCATCCACTCCGGGTAGAAATACTTTCTGTCATCAACTATATTTGCCTGTTAACAAAATATTGTAATTAAATACCTGTTTACAGAGTTAGAGGTAACCTCTTGTGTATATGAGGTTGGAAAAATGTGCTACAAAATAAATATTAACAAAATTATCATTTAATGGCAATTGATTGTAAAGATAACAATTATTCAATGAAATGCACGTGAGTGGTTTGCTTTACTGGTGGCAGGGCAAGCTATGTAGTTATTGCTATGATAATTACCTTTTTTCACTATCGAAAGCCAGAATTAATTGCTTTTATTGTTCCATATAATGTAGTGGTGAGCAGATGTAAACTCATAGATCAAGCTTTTACTGGCTACTGTTGACAAGTACCGTACATTTTCTCATCTATTTTCCTCTATCTACATTAAAACTATGTGAAATTAAATTGGCTGTATGTTTCTCATTCTAGCATAAAATTAACATAACTCTGTGCCATTCCTGCCTTACACTGTTGTCAAGAGTACATTAATTCCTCTGAGATTTTTTTCCCTTAAAACTCCTTGTAAAGAGCTGTCATACTCTTAGACCATCTAATGCCAACTATTCATGTCTGTTACCCTTTTGAACCTCCACTGGATTCTTCAACTGAGGTAGTTTTTGCTGCTTGCTGCAGATACTGAACATTTCATTGTACTTTTATGTGAATTAGAAATCTAATTAGAAAAAAATGAATCACTACTGCCAACACTGCTACTACCATAGGTCCAAAAGGTTTAAGAAATGTTGGAGTAAAACTAGTCAGTCTGGCTATAAATTAGCCATGCAGCAATTTCATAGGTGCACAATTAAATTTCTTCTTAATCTCATAGGGTAATTTGATTATGACCTTAGATATGGTCAAGGAATAAGGTCCCTCTTTCACTGACAGTGAAAAATTGGTGTTGTGTTAGAAAGGTGGCTGCACACTCTTCTGGTGTCTTCAATGAAAAGAAAAATTCATGCAATCTACAATTAAATTTGCTATCTATAACATGATATATAAGAAAGCTCACAGAGAATCAACACATACATAATAACACGCTACAGCTCTCTGCCCTGCTATATTTTGAAACTGAATTAGGAAAACAATTATTTTAAATAACAGTAGCACATAGGATAAAGGCTTTATTGACTTTTTCATAGAATATTACTTACTACATAGTTGATATAATAACATCATTAAAAAAAAATCACCTTTCTTCAGACAAACTATAATTGTAAAATATTGCATTTATTTTATGACTTTGCCTTTATAAGCTGTAAGATTTTACTGTATCATATTTTAATCATAGGAATATTACAATTTTTTTTATTATCACAGGGGTGAAGAAATTTTTGGTACCTTAGAAATAAAAACACCTATTAAGACTAAGACTTTGTAAGTGCTAGAGCTGTGGATTTAAAGGTTAAATTAAATACAAATGCAAGAAAATTTTCAGAAAGCCTCATTTGTTTATTTAGTCCGTTCAGTGGAAATAAAATCACTTATCATGAATACGTCTTGCAAAACATGACTTTAAGTCTTTGGCAGCTAGCAGAAGGAATACCTTTTAGATTTTCTGTCCAATTTCATTTACTTTTGTTACAAGTATTATCAAATACAATTGCAATAAAAAGACCTCGACAGAATACTTATTTCCATTTTTGTGTATAAAAATAAGTCTACCTGATATTTATAAATGTTGGCAACGAAATACAAAGAGGAAAATATTTAAAAAAAAAACCCCGAGAGAATAAAAGGAATTACATACAGACACAGCAGCTGTAATGTAGGACAAGTAAAAGAAACTTTGTTTAAAATTGCCTTTATTATATCTTAAACCAGAACAAATAGAATAATCAGGACACGTTACTCACAGTGTTGCATTTAAAACTTTGAGTAGCGGCTGAATGAACGTAAACCTGGCTTGACATTTCTCTCATTCAGATGAGTCATCTGTACTAGTAACTGCCAGCATTCTCCTGCAACCATATGGTATGACAGGGATGTTGGAGCTTACACCCCCTCATCCACAGCTAATGGGAGAATGAAGCAAAAACCATGTGAATGAGAAACTTCAGGAAAGCGAGCAGGCTGCCTGCAGCTGATCGACATTGGACTGGAGAAACGGTCTTCAGCCCTGAAGCTACACCGGACACAATGAGTCGAGCTGAGACCATGATCGTGGAGTTCACTTCTACTTTTGGCAGAGGGGAAATTTATCAATTATTTCTCTTTCAAAAATAAGGCAGGAGGATTACTATCACCAGCTATACTAAACTAAGGACAAATATAGCTATAGATACATAGAAATATCTCACTGGTGTCCACTGCTGTCTGAAATACTTATAAATAGAACTCTAAACCCAAAGTGTTATGCTTTACAGGCAGTGACTCAATACACAAACCTATAAAAGGCAAGTTGTTCATTTTTTACTATTTTCACTACATTCAGCCCCAAGAATTGAAAACTGTAAGGGGCATTTCAGAAATCATATGAACAAATAAAAAGGATGTTCTTTAGCTTACTCCTTTGACTCCTCCAGTTGTCCCCATATGTGTGACGCTGTGAAAGCGCTGTCCGTTTTCCCAACCTTACAACGTTTCTGCATACCGCTGAAGACTGTGTGAGGCATGGGCACTTCTCACCTCCCGTCTACCTTGTTAAAGGATTATTTGCAAGAAACCCCTGAACTAGTAAACACTGATCCTGCTTCTACTACTGATGAAAGAAAACCATCTCAAACCACGTGAGAAAATGCCAGTATTTCACCAGCTATATCACCAGCAAACCTGAACTCAGTGAAATATGTAACATCTCAAGAAGGTCTTGGCTGAGAGCTAAATTCAGAGAAGCCCTGGGACACTTCCAGGTGACAGCTGGGCTGCCACTCCGTCCCTCAGAAAAGCTATCTACCGTGAAAATAACGAGCTATAAAATAAACACAGTGGCAAATAAACACTTCAGATTCCTCCTTGCCTGCCTGCACAGCCAAGCACCAAACACACCAAACCCTGAGGCCGCCCGCAGCCGCCCAACAACCAAACCGTTACGGTTTGAAGCCGCCCCCGAGGGGGCACGTGACC